GGGGTTAGGGTGAGATGCTGTGACTGCTTTGCAGAACACCTCTGTTCAGACTGTAACCTCGAGTTTCCAATCATTTGTCATTTTAATTCTCTGCTTCACGCCTACTCTGAACTCACTGACCTCAGTCTCCGATATTCCAATTAAGAACAACTGAAGCTGAAGGAACCCCATCCTTGACGAAGAGATTTACAGCTTTCCAGAGTCAGCACTGAGCTCAACAATTTCAGATCATAATCTCCGCCCTTATGTTAAACAGCAAGCTAGCCGCTATTGTGATGATGCGGAGGCTTTAAAAGGGGTGTTTTATCCTGGTTTCTTTTAGAAACAGAGATTGGGGGTACAGGCGATGAGCAGTCTATGTGAAGATAAACAACTTGTGAAGCCTTGGGGATTTTTTAAAAAAGCTGGAACAATAGAAGCAGCCTGAATGGGTGTGGTCAAGCTTCCACCCACAGAACCAAGAATTAAAGGTTTGGCTTTCAACAGTTGTTGCTGTGGGCTTGAAGAAGTAGAAGCTTTTGCTCTCTCTCTCAATTCCAGCCTAAAGCCGGGGGTTCTCTTCCTGGGCTGCTGGATCACATGTGAGACAAAATCTGTTTTCTGAATTTGCCTTTTTGCAAAGGGTGCATTTATGGGATGTTACTATATTGGAACAGTTAATTAGTAACCGTTACTATTCTATTAAGCTTTCCAGTCGAGTTAAGTTATTCCAGTTCCTTCTTTCTTTTGTTGTATTTTAACTGTAGTGAATCAATAGATTGTGTTTGGCTCAACATTGAGTAGTTTGACCAATAAAATTGTACCTGGAACACAGCACCTTAAGCTAGAGTCAAGGCTACCTTCTTATTACATTTTGAGGTGTTCTGGTCTGGTCCATAACATTATTCTGCTATCCCCATCTACAACCCCTCCACACACATCATCTCACTTGTCATCCCATTGCTGTCTCTATTTCTCTTGCACTATCACTCCCACTCCCTCCACCCTATTTTGCTGACTTGCTGATAACCAGTTACATCTTTAAGCTCCCCCAGTCCCAACAGAGGGTCATTCAAGCTGAAACATTAACTCCGCATCTCCCTCTGACACTGAGAAACCTGCTGTTGTCAGCACTTTCTGTTTTTAATCATTGTCGATCTCCAGCCGGTTTCACTCAAACCTAAATTCGCAATGTTCCATAAATTTGTTCTTTAATCTCAGATAAACTTCTTTGTATATGCATATACAACCTCAGAAGAGGATTGAACAACCATTTACCCAAGAGATTACAGTGGGTCCATGGACAGAAAGCAAGCTAATGTGTCGAGTCGAAAGGTTAGCTCGCTCTCTCTTCATGGAGGCTACCTGACCTCCTGTGATCACCAGCATTTTTTGTTTTCAGTACAGATTCCAACATCTGCAGCAGTTTGCTCCTACATCTACCAAAGAAAATGCTCAAAGACATCATGTTAACTTGGCAACAATCTGAATGCAGGAGAGAACAGAAGAGAGGAGCTGGTCTTATATCGGGATACCATGTCTAAACAAATTTGCGCCTCGAAGGACAAGGGAAGCAGATACATTGCAACATCAGCACCTATAAGTTCCCCTCCAAGCCACTCAGCATCCTGACTTGGAAATATATCGCCGTTCCTTCACCGTCGCTGTCCCACCCGCACTGACAGTGTACTATCAGCAGTCTGGCTATATTAATATTTACTCAGTGACTAAAGTGATACATTTACCAAGGTATAAGGCTGGGTAAGCCAAGGAAGTCATGATAAAACTTCACCAAGTACTGGTTAATTCTAAACTGGAGTATTATGTTCAATCACATTTTAAGAAGGACGTCAGGCCTAAGGTGCATACATACGGTTGATGGTCCGTATCTCTTTCCCCAGAGTTGAAATATCTAAAACTAGGGGGCGTGCATTTAAGGTGAGAGGGAGAAAGTTCAAAGGAGATATGAGGGGCAAGTTTTTCACACAGAGAGTCAGAGGAATGCACTGCCAGGGGTGGTGGTGGAGGCAGGTGCGATAAGGGTATTTAAGGGGCTTTTAGATAAGCACATGAATATGCAAGGAATGGAGGGATATGGACCAAGGGCTTGCAGAAGGGATTGGTTTCATTTGGCGTCATGTTCGGCACAACATTGTGGACCGAGGGGCCCGTTCCTGTCTTGTACTGTTCTGCGTTCTACATTCTATATAAGGTACGGTAGAAATTAGAATGGTACAAAGAATGTTGACCTTCAGTTTTGTGAGGAAATTGAAGGAGCTGGCTTGTTCTCCCTGGGACTGAGAAGCTTAAGAGATCTAACTGAGGTGACCATGATCAGAGTAAATAAGGAGAAACTGTTTCCAGTCGCAGGAGGACATAGACTGGAAAAAGAAACAGGGGCAATATGTCTAAACGTGCACTTACACAGTGAGCTGTGACAATCTGAGACCTACTGAATGGAACAGTGGTGGAAACAGATTCGATAGTAACTTTCAAGAAAGGGGAGTGAATACTGTTGATACTTGAAGAGACTAAATATATACATTGCTGTAGGAAAACAGCAGAGGACTGGGAATAGCAGGATTGCTATTCCAGGGGCTGGCATAGCCCTGTTGGGCTAAATGGCCTCCTGTTGCACTGTACCATTCTGTATCGAAATGAAATTGAAAAGGACTTACCTCTTCCTCAAGAGGTTCATTTTCGGTCTCACGTGGATCTGGATAATGTTTGAGGAACTGAGCTACGTAAGTCATGATTGACTTCTCATCGGGTTTGTCAACATCCACATCTGTACATAAAAGCATCACTCTGTTAGAAACACACGTTCTGCTCCACTTCTGCAATACCGCACAACCATTTCTACACTTCTCTCAGTCAACTGGTGCGACAGTGTCACTGAAACTGTTTATCTTTGTGCCTGGTGACACAGAGGAAACATTATCCCGAACTGCAACAGCTTTTATATAGCATCTTTAACACAGTGAAATGTCCCAAGGTGCTACATGGCTGTACATCAGGCAGAATCTGACAGCAAACCAGACAAGGTGACCAAAAGCTGAGATAGTAAGAACTGCCGATGCTGGAGTCAGAGGTAACACAGTGTAGAGCTGGAGGCACACAGCAGGCCAGGCAGCATCAGAGGAGTAGGAAAGCTAACGTTTCGGGTCGGGACCCTTCTTCAGAAAAGGGTGGCAGAGTTGGGACACTACACCAGGAGCTCCTCTGCTCATCCCGTTTCCCTCCCTCTCTCCTCCCTTCTCTCGGCCTCGGGCACCTGGCCCCAGCCTCTGACTCCCGGCGTTTCAGAGCGGGTTCGGAGGAGATGCCTGCTCGCCAGTCACCCGCAGCCCAAAGCAGGGATGCCAGTGAACAGCAGCCAGGGAGGGGCGGGGGTTGTGGGGGGAGGGTAGAGGCCTAGTACAGAGCGTGGCAGCAGCCTGCAGTTAGGCCACATGGAGGGCCCCCCCCTGCACTGGTCTGCTGTGGAGAGCCTTTGGGGAGACACTATGGTGTTTGTCGTTTTAATTTTGCTTCTTGTTTTTCTGCCCTATGGTCATACAGTGTATAGCTGTAATGTAACTTTCTTTTTCTTCATTTCTCTATCCTATAACTGAGGATTGTACCTAGGTACTCTGTACCCAAGATGGTGCTGTAAGTCGTGACTTATAAACTTTCTATTGTACTCATTTGAGTACACGTGACAATAAAGCTAATTCAATTCACGCGGCTATGTCCCAAACTCTGGAATTCCCTCCCTTCACCTCTCAGTCTCTCTCCTTCCCCTTCCACCTTTAATTCATACCTACCATCCTTCTCCTCTTTTAACAAAGCTTTCAGCCATCTGATCTAATGTCTCTTCATGTATCTCGGAGTCATACTTTGTTTTCTAACCCTTCCGTGAAATGCCTTGGGACATTTCATGACACGAAAGGCGCTTTATAAATACAAACCACTCTTGTCGTTTGGAGGGAAATGCCGGAGATTAGGGGCTAGATTCCTGAAGGCATAGTCACCAGTGTTGAGGTAACAGAAGCCAGGGACTAAAAGTGAAGTGTTGAGATCTCAGGGACGTATTGGGCTGTGACACGATACAGATGACAGAGGATAGCCTACGTGCATGACCAGGTGCTGCTTTAAGAGGTGGAGAAGGAGCAGTGAACCATCTGGCTAGGCCTTGGTACCAACCTTTCTGGGCAGCTCCTGTCTATTGGCATCAAAACAATGTAGTGAGGAACAAGCTCTGACTACATCACCTCCCGTGAGGGTATGTTGTGCAGCCGCCCTGAGAGGTGATAGGCCAGTTAGAATTGCAGGGTCAGTGATCCAGTATGCCACACTGGTCAATGCAGCCCCTTCATCGGAGGCCTCACTGATGATGTCACCTAGCATGGCGACGAAATGTCTGAACGAGAACAAGGCAGCTTGGTGAGCAAGTCAACAACCTCACCCACAATCCTCTTTTCCTTCTCTGCTCTAAGGATGGTGATCCCAGCTTCTCCAGTCACTCCCCATAACCTTAAAACCGCACTTATTGCTTTATTTTCTCGTCTAACCATGCTAGTAAATCTTTTCTAGACCCTCTTCTAAACCTTTATGGTCATCCTAAATCCCTATGGAATGCCAGGAGATTCCCAGCCTGATAATACTGTCAAGTTTAGGTAGACCTGAAAACTAACCAAGAGCCAAAGTCAGGTACCTTCAGGATCCAGGATCCTTGGAATTCCCAGTTGATTTTCAGCGATGGAGAAAGCACTTTCCAGGTTTTCCCGGTTCGACCGGCTCTGGACCTTCTCCAAGTCTGTCAGGTCCGGGCGGATAGCATGAATGACGGAATGAAAGGCAAGTCCACTCCTCCAGCTCTGCCCAAAATCCTTCACCTCGATACCGAGTTGCCTTCAAAACAGACAGCACGTGCTTGTGAGCAGCCTTGTTATGTTAAAACACTGAGGTGAAACACTACAGGGGTCAAAGGGCGTAGGGCAGGGTGCAGAGGGCAAAGAGTAGAGTCACAATCCACAAACCAGATTTCTAAAAGCTGCCCCAGAGATGGGAGACAGGATGGATCTGCTGAAATTTACTAGCTCTCTCGTGACCTCCTTGTCTGTTACAAACAGCCATTGTCCAGCGAATTTGTGCACACCCTCTCTACATCAATGGGTTGGAGCTTGGCAGAATCCCTGGGCCATCCTAGAATTCTAGAGGGAGCTGAAAACCATCTGCTGGGGATCAGGAAGACTCCAATCGGAGGTCTTTTCAAACTAAAGAGTCTTGGGAATCTTGAGTGAAGCAGCCTTTGGTGCTTCCATCACCCTTCTCTCTCTCACCTCATTGTGAGGTCAAAGACAAGGCACCATTCCCACAGATGGGTGCAACTTGCCGGCTGCAGTCACCAATGCCTCCGCTCGCTCCGTTTAAATTCAAATCAAAAGCAGTGCATCCAACCTGTGAGCCAAGACCAGGCCAGCACCTGAAACGGTGCCACGGGCCTGCATAATGGCTCCCTGGGGTCCACCTTCCCTCCCATCCCAGGCCGTTTACACAGAGCCAGGGATTAGGATTCCAAACCCTGATGCAGCCAATAGTCTATCTAGGTCTGAAAACCCATGAAAGAAAGCCCAGTGGGATCCTCCGAGGTTCACACAGACTACAGGACAGGTTTAGCAACCAAGAGGCGGACCTTCCTTACACCCTGGGTGTTCCCTTCGTCCTCTTCCACAGTGGTGGCCTGGCTAAACATTCACTCATGGGATGTGGGCGTCACTGGCAAGGCCAGCATTTATTGCCCACCCTTAATTGCCAATTAAGAGTCAACCAAATTGCTGAGGCTCTGGAGTCACATGTAGGCCAGACCAGGTCAGGATGGCAGATTCCCTTCCCTAAAGGTCATAGTGAACCAGATGGGTCTTTACAACAATTATTACACGCTCGTCATTGGACTTTCAGTTTTAAAAATCAAGGTCTAATTTCACCGTCTGCCATGGATCAGATCTGAGCTCATGTCTCCAGAATTTTAGACTGGGGCTCTGGATTACTGACATTATCACCAAGCCACCACTTCCCCTCAGTAACTTGGAGAGAAGACCTCTCTCCCTCCATGACCTTCCATGACAGCTCGCTGGACCTCAAAGACCTCTGAGTGGCCCTTCCTCTTCAAGATCCCCTCAATTAAATGGCAAACTCTGGCTATGAATTGGCCACTTTCGGGAAAATGACAACACGTGGCAACACGTATTAAGAGGCATCTGGATGGGTACATGAATAGGAAGGGTTTAGAAGGATATGGGCCAAATGCTAGCAAGTGGGATTAGATTTATTTAGGATATCTGGTCAACATGGACAAGTTGGACCAAAGGGTCTGTTTCCATGCTCTTTGACTCTATGACTGTTTTCCACAGCTCAGCCGGATGATGGATTTGAGGAACCTCAGGGAAAATCCGAACCCCCGAGTCCCAACAGATGGGACAGCACTAACTGCCAGGGTGAAAAGTTCACCCCCTGGTTACAGTAGATTTGATACGGGATTCCAGCATCTCCTCCTGTCCCCATCAAAAGTCTGAAAAATACCCGACTGACAGGCTAAATGAATACAGGCAAACAGCCAGGCTCAATTAGTCAGAGGTCACATAACACCAGGTTACAGTCCAACAGGTTTGTTTGAAATCATGAGCTTTCAAAGCATAGCCCCTTCGTCGGGTGAAGGAGCAGCGCTCCGAAAGCCTGTGATTTCAAGTAAGCCTGTTGGACTATAACCTGGCGTCATGTGACTTCTGACCTTGTCCACCCCAGTCCAACACCGGCACCTCCATGTTAGGATGAATTAGGGATTAGGTCACGGCTCGTACCCCTGCATGGGGTCACGTGACAAGCAGATGGGGGAAGGAGGCCAATGGAAGCTGCACAGCAGAAGGAGATATGAACTTGGCACTGCTGGGATCGGGTGTGAGGGCCCTTTAAAGGCATATGACCTCTTTTTGGTCGGGGAGGGGTGTCAGTTTCAGCAACATAGTCTAATCCTGAGGCCCGATCGCTGACAATAACAGCCTGCGGGATGGCAGCTGCATTTAGAATCCTCTTGTACCCCTCATGGCTTGAACCTCGCCCCTGCGGCCTGCTCAGCAACTCTACTCCCCCAAGCCCACTCCCACTCCCACCACCTCCCGAAGCCTCACTCTGATCCCTCATACCAAGTGGGAAGCTTTGAACTGGCAGCACAAGTGGCAGCAACACACCTGGGATGTATTGCACAGAAGAGAAAAATCACAGCAATAAGGAACAGGGAACAGTACAGCGCAGGAACAGGCCCTTTGGCCCACCAAGCCTGTGCTGACACGTGACACCTTTCTGGAACTGAAAGCCCCTTTGCCTCCACACTATCCATATCCCTCTATTCCCTGCCTATTCATGTATCTGTCAAGACACCTCTTAAATGTTGCTATGGTATCCTCCTCCACCACCTCCTCTGGAAGCATATTCCAGGCATTTACCACCTTCTATGTTAAAAAAAAAACCTGCCTCTCACATCTCCTTTAAATTTACTGCTTTTACCTTAAACCTTACGCTCCCTAGTAATTGACATTTCCGCGCTGGGAAAAGAACTCCAACTATCCGTTCTATCCACGCCTCTCAAAATTTTGTAAACTTCCATCAGGTCACTCCTCAGCGGCCGACATTCGAGTGAAAACAAACCAAGTTTGTCTAATCTCTCCTCATAGCGAGTATCCTCCAAACCAGGCAACATCCCGGTAAACCATTTCTGTACTCTCCCCAATCCATAAAAAAGGTTAGAGTATTTCACAACCCAGAGCGGGGAAAGAACAAAACCAGAGAACCGTGATATTTGGAAATGAATGTACAAATAATATTGGAGCTCCATTGAAGCATACAGTAGTTGTCAGGCTATGATATCTCACACACATCTTACCAGTTCTTCCTTCCGGGAGAACGCGATTTCCTCCTGAAACTAATTTGTCTCGCAGATGCAAGGTTGGGATGTGAAAGGCTTTCAACCACAGAGCTAGGACGTTTGGCCTCAGCCGAGGTGTATAGCAGAACACCCCAGTTTTTACCCAGCTTGAAACAATGTCAGGCCATTGGTCATTTGGGAATAAAGACACCAAACTAGAGAGATGGGAGCTGGAGCAGCTCAGATTCCACGTCCAGCCTTTTCCACCATCCAATGAAACGACACGCTGTGACTTAACTCCATGCAGCCACGTTTCACTTGGGAAAGAGTAACATCAACCTCAGCTCTAGTCCCTTGGTTGCATTGGAGAGATGACGGGGGGTGTCGAGGTTACTTTGCCCACACCCATGCTCTGATCATCTTTCCCATGTTCTGGGCGGGTGGGAGATGGGGAGTTTGAGGCAAACTACTTCCTGCGGAAAACTGGAAGGGTAAACTGGCGAAGTAATATCACTGCCAGGCCCCAGCATCTCCCAACTCCACATACCTCCCCAGAACGACACTGACCACTAGTGAGAGAGAGTGGCCGAGAGGGTAATCAGGCAGGTAACGCAAGAAATGAGAGTTAGATACATAGATAGACAGACAGACAGACAGCTGTACACAGGCAGACAGATGAAGATGAAGAGAGTAGAGATGGAGGTAGAGAGAAGGAGATAAAGAGAGAAACAGAGAGATGGAAAAGGAGAGAGGGAGAGAGAGATTTCATGATAGAGAGAGATGGAGAATGAGAAAGAGATTGAGTTCGAGACAATGAGATGAAGAGAGAGACAGAGACAAAGATGGAGATGGAGGGAAAGTGAAACAGAGAGGGAGAGAAATGGAGAGAGAGCGAGAAAGAGAGACAGAAAGTGACAGATAGAGAGACAGAGAGAGAGAAAGAGAGATTCAGAGATAGAGAGAGAGAAAGAGAGACAGAGACTGTGAGAACTAAAGGAAAAGAGAGCTAAAAAGAGCTAGAGAGAAAGAACAGGATTTTACATCTGTGAGTGAGAAGTAGAGGTTGGGACTGTTTCTGGGTCCTGAACCCGGTCTGGGGGGTAAATAGCCAATAACCGAGATATTCAATGAGGCATCCCCTTCATTGGCATAGCAACAAGTTCTCTGCCTAGGTAAAGATAGTGAGTACACTCCCAAGGCTGCAGGATTAATCAGAGTCCTTCCAGCAGAGTGTGACGGAAGGTAAGTAAGGGCAGAGGAGTGGTGGGCGGACGCTTAAAGATCTGTAATCAAAGATTCCACAGCAAGGCCGCCACCACCGGTGGGAGAAGCTGTCGTCAGGGTGACCTGGGGCTGCTCCTGCATTGGGGCCTACCTCGAGGAACCCTAGCCCAGGCCCCTGTCAGGGCATAGAGCTGGATGGCAACTGGAAAATCCCACCTTTAGCATCTGATCCCAGTCCTAGTGGGAGCTGAAAACCCGACCCTCAGGCCTAACTCCAAAACATTAGCAGCACAAACCATTAGAAAAACAAATGATAACTCACTGCAACGACATCTCCTTATACACTGGAAAGGGGATATGAAGTGATACTCACTTTCCTACAGTGTAATGTACCCATTTCAGGAGAGCCTTCTTAGCACTGTCCTTGTATTTGGTGACAACCTTCCTCTTAGACGGGGGGCTCCCAGTCTCGGAGTTGGCGACACTGTCCACTGAGGAGGTGCTGCTGGAAAGCGATGTTAGCAGCGTCAGGTTACTGGTCAGCTCCTCGATCTGTGAGTTGGAAGAGAAACCCATTGTAAATGACGGCGGTCCCACAACACAGCTGCTTAATTGAAAACGGGGTGGTGTAAAGGAATTACAACCTGGAAGTACAAGATGATGGTCCAGATCAAACCCAGCACAATCGATGGCTTCCCGTCAACAATGTCAGTGGCGTTTATGTTGACCAGTTTAATCTGCAAGAAAAACACAGTTTGTTTTCAACATCCCATTGCGTGCTTCACAAATTCCCCACAGTGTGAACGTACTACATCATGCTATAACTTCCGTCTTTATCAAACTCATCTCCATGCCTGTGTCTCTTCGCCTTTTCTGCTCCTTCCCACATCAATGAGTTGCTATGGAAGTAGTCAGAGGCCTGAGAGGTGACATTATTGAGGTTTATAAAATCATGAGGGGCATGGACAGGGTGAAATAGTCAAGGTCTTTTCCCCAGGGTGATGGAGTCCAAAACTAGAGGGCATAGGTTTAAGGTGAGAGGGGAAAGATTTAACAGAGACAACTTTTTCACGCAGAGGGTGGTGCGTGTTTGGAATGAGATGCCAGAGGAAGTTGTGGAGGCTGGTATAATTACAACATTTTAAAGGCATCTGGATGGGTACAGGAATAGAAAGGGTTTAGAGGGATATGGGCCAAATGCTGGCAAATGGGATTAGATTAATTTAGGATATCTGGTCGGCCTGGATGAGTTTGACCCGAAGGGTCTGTTACCATCCTGTGCATCTCAATGATTCTATGACTCTATGACTCTAGGAATAGTCCTGCCACTGTTAAGGAATAGAATGAAACACTTTTCATTTGCATAGCAATGTTAGCAACATCAGGACATCCCAAATGTTTCACCACCAATGAGCTAGACTGTCCCCCTCCCCACCCACAAGGTGAACGTGAGGGATCCTATGGTGACCTATCCAAACTACTTCATTAGAAGTCTTTATCTAATTGCTGTTTATGGAAGCTTACTGGTGTGACAATGCTGTGGCTTTAAGAGGGGTGTTTTATCTTGGTTTACTTTAGAGAGAGATTGGGGACAGGTGCCAAACAGTCTCTGAGAAGATAAACAGCTTGTGAAGCCTTGGGTGTTTTAAGTTAGAACAATAGAAACAGCGTGAACGGGTGTGGTCGAGCTCCTAAAGAACCAGGATCTTTAGTTTTAGCTTTCAGCAGTTGCTATAGGGAGCTTAAAGGGGTGGAAGCTGTTTTTTCCCTCTCTCAGTTACAGCCAAAAGCTGGGGGTTCTCTGCTTGCTACAGGAGTTGCGTGTGAGACAATCTGTTTTCTGAATTTGCCTTTTGCCAGGTGTGTGTTTATGAGATGTTACTATATTGGAACAGTTAATTAGTAATAGTTACTGTTGCTTCTATTCTGTCAAATTTTCCAACAGAGTTAAGTTATTCCAATTCTTTCTTTCTTTTGTTGTATTTTAATTATAGTGGGTAAATAAAGTGTGTTTTGCTTTAAATCCAGTAGTTTGACCAACCAAACCGCATCTGGAACACTAACACCTTACATTTACCTTTAAAATAAGAGAAGGTTAGGATCTAGGCCATCTCCTGAATATTTTGAGGGGGCTGATCTGGTCCATAACACTGTGCCCAAATTAGCTCTGTGTATGCCACATTAAAAGGTAAAGTCACCTTAGCAGATCATAGGGCTGCTCTCTCATGACAGACTCTTCCTATCAAAGTTATCTCAGAGTTATAGATTTATAGAACACTTCTGAAATCTCATCTTCCTAAATTTAAAAAAATGCAAAAATGCCAACACAAAACAAACCCAGAGTTTGAAGATAGTTTGAAGGCATCTGTCAAAAAACGTTCTAAATTAACCAAGAAGGTTTCACTGAGGAGGAGGTTTGTTCTGCTAATGGAAACTGTTGACAAGTCTCCTACACTAGAGGAAGAGATACTGAAGGAAGCTATGTCAGTAATAGCATTCAGCAGTAAAACAACTGTGCACTTAAAAATCTCAAAGAGCAATTAGCATTAACAACACAGAGCCAGCGGTGGAAATATTAGCGAGAGTAGTCAAAAGTCTGATCAAAGAGATGAGTTTTGAGGAGGACAGGAGGGAGGAGGCGGAGGGGTTTATGGAGGGCATATCAGAGGGTGGGATGTAGGTGGTGAAGAATTTGTGCTGAATTTCAGAACATGAGTACATTTCCACTAGAAAGACTGTCACACATGGGAGATTCCATTTGATGAAGAACGGGGAATGAACATTTGTGCATTGATGGTTTTCCATGGATGGGGGAATATGAAACAGCAAACAGCACAGAACAGAAGTAAAACCAGGCTGTAAAATGAGTTTGTACGATACTGAAATCACTGACCGGTGATCCTCTGTAGACCGACTGGGAGTGAGGCAAAAGGAATTAAAGAGAATTTGCGTTTGATTAGTCAAGTGCTCTGCTTTATCTGCACGCAACGCGACCATCAGCTGTTCCATCCCAATTATTTACAAGGTCTATGGCTTCAATGTTAATTTCACAAGTGAATCTGTGAGCTCTTGTGGGCTCCTGTCAACGAGCAACATCTTTAGTGTTCAACTTCCTGCCAGCAATGCCAGTTCATGAATACTTATTCCTTCTTCCGTGATTCACACGAAGAGCCTTAACCTGTTTACCTCAAATGCATTAACCTTCACCAGCAACACAGAAGGAGGAAGTCACTCAGGCCTGCGCTGCAACTCAACTAAATCCTGACTGATCTTCACTTCAACTCCATTTGCCATTATTCCACCTTCCCTAATGAATATTTATCGATCTCACCCCTGAAAGCTTCAACTGTCCACCAACATCCACAACCAGAATTCCAGACTTCCACGATTTGTGTGAATATGTGCGTCCAAAGGTCATTCTGAAACAACTTAGTTCTAATTTCATGGTGGTACTCCCTTGTTCTGGAGTCCCCCAACAGACGATGTGGTCTCGCTGTGGTCTATTTCTTTCGATTCTGCTTTTAGCATTTTAAACACCTCAAACAACCTTCTAAATACAAGTCACGCTTACACAACGGATGGCACAGTGGTTGAGTGGTTAGCACTGCTGCCTCACAGCACCAGGGACCTCCATTCAATTCTAACAGTGGGTGACTGTCTGGATGGAGTTTGCATGTTCTTTCCTGTGTCTGCATGGGTTTCCTCTGGGTGCTCCAGTTTCCTCTCACAGACGAAAGATGTGTGGGTTGGGCATGGGAAATGCAGGGTTACAGGGATAACATAGGGGGTTGGATCTGGGTGGGATGCTCTTTGGAGGGTCAGTATGGGCCAAATGGCCTGCTTCCACACAGTAGGGATTCCATGATACCTCCTTTATTTAAAAAAAAACTCTCCGGAATTTAACCATTCAAGTACATTATATCGTCCTGGCCATAACGATAAAACGTTAAGACTTCAAACATAATATGGTGGGTGTCCAGGAGAGCATACTTCAGATTTGCCAGCATTTTAGCCACTATTTTGAATTTAAACTGCATTAGACAAGTTTTCTGTCTCTCTCAGCAGCTGGAGTGAGGAGGTAAATGCCATTTCACTTGCCGGATGGATCCAATTTACTTGTTTCACCCGCACTCTGCAACTGACCAGGATGGGTGGCTCAGTGGTTAGCACTGCTGCCTCACAGCACCAGGGACCCAGGTTTGATCCCAACCTCTGGGTGCCTGTTGATGTGGAGATTGCACAAGCTCCCTGTGTCTGCATGGGTTTCCTCCCACAGTCCAAAGATGTCCAGGTTAGGTAGGCTGGCCATGCTAAATTACTGATAGTATTCAGGGATGTGTAGATTAGGTGTGCTAGCCAAGGGAAATGCAGGGTTATTGGGGGGGGATCCTCTTCGGACGGTCAGTGTGGACTTATTGGGTCAAAGGGCCTGTTTCCACATTGTACAGATTCTGTAACCAAATCGCCCACAGCAACAATTTTATTTCCACCGGACACATTGTTTTGTTTGTCATTTCATGCTAAATGTCACCTTAATAGGTAATTATTTCAGCTTTATTTCCAAAAAGAGCTTCTACACTCTTTTGTTATTTTCCCCTAATCTATAGCTGTTGTCTTTTTACACAATTTATTCTATAGAATCAGCACCAATAACGTTGCCAAGGCAACTGCCTTCAAGGTGATGCTATGCCCAGCAGCATTAAGCAGTGAAGCTACACCAGTGTGAAGTCCTTTAAATCCCTGGGTATTCCTGGTATGGGAAGCTGGGTGGGCTGAAATGGGAAAACGGGGCACTAGGGATTTTAACCCCATCCTGCCCCAAGTGAGAATTCCGACAAGGTGGAGGAGAAAGGGTCGGAGTGGGACACACAGGGTATTCCTTTTGGGACTCAGTCACAGAGACTGACATTAGGAAACCAGCAATTTCACCAAAGGCGCATTCCGATCAGAAACTAAATTTATCCTTTGACGGATTTGGCAAGATTGACCTAACCCGGCCAACAGTCATTAAAAGCAGAATGGTGCCAGAGATGGCGAAAGTCTGGTTATAGAATGAATCCTCAGGTAATGGGACTACTTCCACTGGACAGAAGAATGTTTTTTTTTAAAAGAAGTATTTTTAAAATGATGATCACTTTAATTGGGAAAGATTATTTCCTCTGGTATATTGGTAAGGTCACTGGATTAGTAATCCAGAGGTTCAGGCTAGTGCTGGTGGGATTTAAATTCAATTAACAAACCTGGAATAGAAAGCTAGTCTCAATAATGGTGATCATGACAACCTTTAACGATGGGAGCAAAAGGTCACTTCTGTCCTATAGGTAAAGCAATCGGCTGTCTTTACTTCCTCCTCAAAAGTGGTTGACTAAGCCACCCAGTTTGAGGGGCAATTAGGGATGGGCAACAAATGAACCCCATAGAAGAATCTCTACAGTGCAGAAGCAGGCCATTTGGTCCACATTGACCCTTCTGTGAACATCCCACCCATCCCTATAATCCTGCAATTCCCATGGCTAATCCAGCTAGCTTCCATATCTTTGGGCTGTGGGAGGAAACCAGAGCATCCAGAGGGATCCCACAGAGAAACAGGGAGAAGGGTGGAATTGAACCCAGGTCCCTGGCACTGTGAGGCAGTACTGTTAACCACTAAGCCACTGTGCCACCCAAAATGCTGGGCTAGCAGTGCCACACACATCACCTAAAAGACACAACAATGAAGAAAGCACAGCCCTGTTCTCATTCAATGGGCACACACTTCAGCAATGATTAGTGCTTTTAAAAACTGAATGAACTGTGGATGCTGGAAATCAGAAACAAAAACAGTAATTGCTAGGAAAAACTCAGCAGCATCCATGGAGACAAATCAGAGCTAACGTTTTGGGTCCAGAGGTCCTTCTTCAGAACCCAAGATGTTATGTCTGATTTCTCTCCACAGATGCTGCCAGAACCACCAAGTTTCTCCAGCAATTTCTGTTTTTGATAGTGCTTGATTTGTCTTCACCTTAGATATTGAGGTTTATTCTTGCACTGAAAACTAACAGCAGCTAAACTCCTGGGGCGTAAACTCTGGATGACTCAGTGGTTAGCGCTGCTGCCTCACAGCACCAGGGACCCAGGTTTGACTCCACCCTCAGGTAATTGTCTGTGTGGAGTTTGCATGTTCTCCCCATGTCTGTATGGGTTTCCTCTGGGTGCTCTGTTTTCCTCCCACAGTCCAAAGATGTGCAGAACAGGTGAATTGGCCACACTAAATTGCCCATAGTGTCCAGGGATGTGCAGACTAGACACATTAGCCATGGGAAATGTGGTGTTACAGGGTTAGTGTGGGTCTGGGTGGAATGCACTTCAGAGGGTTGATTGTGTACTCAATGGTATGAATGGCCTGCTTCCATACTGTAGGGATTCTATGACTCTGTTAGATACTTAAATCTGGACAGACGAGGTAAGAACTTCAGCGAGAAGTCTCTGCACTGAGGGATCACTCAGTGTCAAAGAGATTCAGGTAAACAGTCCCCGAATATTTCACACACCAACAAATGTAGTCATTGACACTAAGGTCATACGCAATCCTGTGAGCTCTGTTTCTGAGTTATCCTTCCAGTTTGGATAAGTACCAACTAGATGTACTTGTGATCACTGAAAAGCTGTCCTCAGTCAAAGGATTTCACACCAAAATGTGACACTCCAGAAGGAGACGACGCTGATATTCACACTCACCCGCCTGCCCTCGAGAAATTTCAAAGCTTTTCCGATGTTGTTCACCCAGTGGATGCGTTTTGACTTACGGCCCTGTTCACAAGGCTGTAAAAGCAGAACACGAATTAATCGCAAGAACTTTTTCCAACCAAAACTCTTACATTCAATACCTGGCTGGCAGAGTGTAGATGTAACTATTGCAATAAATAACTTTGGAGCCTTTGGCCTTTCTCCTCAACTGTGCAGACCCCAGGGATAATGGAATGTTGGAGAAAATAGTGAGTTTTATCAGTTCTCTTTCATCCTCCTTTCTCCCTCCATTATGCAGCTGGCACTTCCAATGACAGTGAAAGGCACTGCCATTGCTGAAACCCCCACTATCAATGTTCCAGGGGCTGACCATTGACTACAAACTCAAACGGACAAACCATATAAATACAATGGCAGGACAGCAAATCAGTCTAGATATTCTGTGTCGAGTAACTCATCGGCTGACTCCCCTCCATCATCGAGATGTCATAAGTCAGGAGTGTATTGGAGCACTCTTCACTTGCCTGGATGGGAACAGCGCCAACAACACTCAAGCAGCTCAACACCATCAAGGATAAAGCAACTTGACTGAAAGTTCAACTATCCACTTTCTGATCTATCCCATCCAGCACCAACACACCCTGGCTGCAGTGTGCACCATTTACGAGATGCATTATAGCAATTTGCCAAGGCCTTGGTGCTAGCATCTCGAACCCACGATAAGCATCAGCTGGAAGGACAAGGGCAGTCAGTGCAATGAAACACCACTGCTTTCAATTTCCCCTCCACAGTCCACACCATCTCACTTTGGAAATACATCACCTTACCTTCATGAGGGCATCTTTGGAGAAGTCGGACATCCAGAGCTGTATGAGACACAATCATCAGGCCAAAGTGGTAAAGTTGTCACTGTGAATCCACGTGGGAACTGGGTTCATGACTCAGCATTAGGCATGTAATGCCCACTCTCTATGAGCATTGTCAGAAGTGAACAGAAACATTGGCAGCCAGGGTGGCTCAGCGGTTAGCACCAGGGACTCAGGTTCAATTTCGCCCTCAGGTGACTGTCTGGGTGGAGTCTGCACATTCTCCCTGTGTCTGCGTGGGTTTCCTTTGAGCGCTATGGTTTCCTCCCACAGTATAAAGATATTTAGGCTAGGTGGATTGGCCATGCTAAATTGTCCAGAGTGTCTAGGGATATGTATGCTAGGTGGATTAGCCATGGTAAATGCAGGGATAGGGTAGTGGTGTGGGTCTGGGTCAGTGTGGACTGGATGGGCCAAATGGCCTGCTTCCGCACTGTAGGCATTCTATGATTCTAAGTATGAAAGGCTGAAACATCCTCTCATCGCCTTTCCAAGATGCCAGTTCCTTAATGGAGCCTGATCTCACAAGGACCAATTACTTCAACCAAATGGCATTCACATATGTATGAGCTTTGGTAAGCAGCATCCAGGGGGCTATTTATCCATGGGCTGCACTGCAATCAAACTTTACCCCTCCATCTTAATGTTACCATCCTCACACGCACTCCCAGTGGTGATTACTGGAGGTGGGCAACAATAGGAACATTGGCACAGTTTTAACAAGCACTCCGATACAGAGAGGGGCAAGGGCCAAATGTCTCTGTGATGGTGACGAGGAGAGTTCAGGAGGCTTTTCAAAGATGAACATACAGGATCCAAAGCGTTTATAAAATAGGCATTGTCAGTATACCCAAGGAAGTTGTGCTAAAACCTCACAAATCACAGCCTATCCTGAGTTGGAGTATGGTGTCCACACTACAGGAAAGACCTCAAAGACTTAGAGAGAGTGCGCAGGCGATTTACTGGAATGGAGCCAGGGATGAGGGACTTACAGTTATGTGGAGTGATTGTAAAAACTGAAGTTGTTCTCCTCAAACAGAGAAGACAAAGGGGAGACTGAATGGAGGTGTTCAAAGTTAAGAAGGGTTTTGACAATGTAGTGGCATTATTTGTTAACAGAGTGAGTTGTTCGGATGTGGAATATACTGTGCGAAGAGATGGTGGCACACATTTAGGAGCAACTTTGGAAACAGAATATTTGGAAAGGAAAATATGTGCAGAAGGGACCAGGGGAGTATGGTCGAGAGAGCTGGCTCTTTTAAAGATGACATACAGGCATGAAGAGATCCTGCAATGTATGATTCTATGGTTGTAGGCATTCCCCTCTCAACCCAGAGAATGCACTGACAGTATTTGTACCATAATCCCAATTGGATCAGATGCTTTTGCATTGTTTCCATACTACTCATTGTCCAGCTGCTCACTGACCCATTGGCGGCACTGCGCTGGTTTCAAGCTGATTAACTCACCAGATTCTGTCCAGATAGAACTTCCAAGAGGGCAAGGAGCATCACACCATCCTTGATATCTTCAAATAAATCATTGACTATAATCGGGGGATTGCGCTGTAACAGAAGAGAGAGACAGAGACACTTAGTACTTGGTCTTAACCACACTAGGTTAGATGGACAGTGGAGGGGACTGGAATATCAATCTGATCAACAGCTTAGTTCCCAGTTAGGTCAGAGAAGCCGAGGGGCAGCCTGCAGTACGATGCCTCAGCTGCTGGTGGGAAAGTAAGGAAGGTCTGATTCCTGATCTCAGGGTTGGTCTGACAGCTGGGAGTTGGCTCCATTCTGCAACTCCAGAGGAGATCCCAGCTTCACCCTCCACCCACCCCACCCCCACCATCGCCCTGCCCACCCATTAAAGGATGAACATTTGGATTGCACTGTGTGTCCAACGGGTAACAAGATAGGCCCAACTCCATGGAAAGAGGTAAGCTTTCTCGGGCTGGGATCAACCAGTGTTGCAAAGTCTCTCCCCCAGAGTTCCCCCACCTCCCCACCAACGTTCCTCAGCTCCCTCCCTTCACCACCCAGGTTTTCTGAGGCCTGAGAAAACCAGCTGGTCAATGGTATGGAACCAAAGAATCCTTACAAGTGCAGAGAGAGGCCATTCGGCCCATCGAGTCTGCCACTGACCCTCTGAAGAGCATCCTAACCGAGCCCAGCACCCCACCCTGTCCCTGTAACCCCGTATTTATCAGGAAAAGGTATACCTACAAAGTAGGTGAGCTCAGAGGCTACTGTAAGCATTAATATAGTCAAATTGCCAACTCAGCTCCTGGAAGTAGACTGGCTCCCCAGCTCTTGTCCAACGTCAAGTTAAACCTAAAATACAAAAACTCAGAGCCTGACACTTCCCAGATACATTGACTCGTAGCTGCAGCAAAGGTGAGACAGCACAGTCTGAGCGATAATTGCCCAGGGTGAACAACATTGTCTGTTTATTGCTAATAAACTCACTTCTGGACATTTTGTACTGTCCTTGTCAAGCAAATGGCAAAGAGACAATGTTCCGACAGGAGATTATATGCACTACTGAACCAGTTAGCGCTCAGACGGAACTAAATGGGGAATGAGCAAGTACAGAAGTTTGCACCAACTGCGTGTCAGTCAAACCACCCAATTTTTTTTTTATGAAACAAGAGAATCCAGCGAACTTCTGAGTACCCACTTTGAACACCTTTCAGTGAAGTGCTCAAAGAAATTGAATCTACACTGACACACACCCACTTGTCAAGACAGCAAGAAAGGTCAACTAGTTACTGGGCAAGAACATGTCACACCTCATTCACCTACTGTGCTGTCACTCAACCAGAGGAACAACGGGTCCTGCAGCAGGTCACTCTGCCTCTCCAGTTCTGTTGTGACATTCAGTTACTTTATTGCTTGGATTTCCTTGATACTTTTACCCACTTAAGTGTAATTGATCCACCATGACCGAAAAATGCAGCATTCCCTCAGGGCTAGGCTAAAGTCTCATCTCTCGTCACACTGTTCTGAGTTCAGTGCAGGACCTGAGCCTGAAAATCACAGCTCTGTCTATCTGTTCAGCTCGATACTAAAAATGCAATGCCACTATTCTGAAGAAAAGCATTGTTTTTTAATCCTATGTATCTACACCAATATTAATCCCCCAATCGACAACACAAAAACACATCATCTGGCCATCTGCATGGGGGATCATTCTGTGCATATTTCCTAAACAACGCTAGGGAATTTCTGAAGTAATTAATTGGCTGGAAAGCCCTTTGAGATACCCAGTGGCAATGGAAAGCGCTATACAAATGCAATTCTTTCTTAATTTCACCCTTTGGGGCTCAAACGTCAAGAGTGGGGTTCAATCCCGCAACCTTTTGACTCAGAGATGAAAGTACCAGCTGCTGGCGGGGTTGGGGGGTAGAATGGTTCTGCACTGGTCCGAGAATGATCGACAACAGGTGGACACTTTTCTGCAGGCACCAAACTTTAAAAAAAAGTAAACTCTGGGCAGAATGTTGCAGGAGCCTGAGCAACATGGGTGATGGCAAGATGTGTGGCAGAATCAGACAAGCACCCTTGACATCGAGATCGTCTCAGGTTACCCGAGGCAGCATGGCAAGATTCTCCCCTCGTTAATATTCTGCTCCCAATCTTCCTACGTCAAGAAGACCTGAGAAGTAAGTCAGAGCTGGTGCCCGGCGAATTCAGCTCACAATTGCTCCAAGTACTGGGCACCAAGCACCGAGATCTCAGGGCACAGTCCACAGGGCACCGGCCACATGTACCCTACATCCGCTGACATTGATGGAGCAGGCTCGAAGTTCTGCTTTCACTCCTAGTTTCTACGTCTCTCCTGACAGGAGCCTTCGAACAGCACCCTGGAGGCCAACAGGAACTATCACTGAACCATCGCAAGGAGGACACTGTGCTCTCAGAGACACACGTCCAGCTCACCTATTTGACCAGGCCGCAATTCCCAGGCTCTTTGTTTTCTCTCATCACACTCGCTCACTCTGAGCCCACCTGGAAGCTGACGGTAACCTTGCCTTTCCTTTCTCCTTCCCCCAGCTAGCGGTACCTGCTTCACATTACTTTCTGTCTTGCCTCGTAGCTTAGCACAGACACTAAGCCAGGAATCTTCTCCTGGTGATCAGCAGGACTCAGTCAACTTATGGGTGGAAGGAGGGGGGGATGGCTCTAGGCACAGTAAGTTAAGGGCACTTTCCCCAAACCTGTCCAGGGGGCTTAAACATGGCCAGCGAGCCATCGGGGCAGTCAGAGTCAGGATGCTCTTCCCGTAAGGATTGAGGAGCCTTATACCAGGTCAGGCCATCACCTGTGACTCTTTCTGCCCTTTTGGGGGATTGTCTCCCTCCTGGGACGAGAGAGAGAGATATTAATGGAGGTGAAAGTGGGTGGCACGGAAATGACTTTCATATCCGTGAGAGCGAACGAGTGAGCAGGCAGCACAGAGGGCACGGAGGGTTAGTGCTGATGGGAGCTGGGGTGGGCCACAGCAAATGGGGGAAGATGGGGCATTAGTTGGAGTGGTAAGAGAATGGGTCTTGGTGAGAGGTGGATACAGTAACAGGGGCTGAATGAGTGAAATATGTCGGAGAGAAGACGTGGGGCACTTACGTGGAAAAGGACATGGATGTTCTTCCAACAGTCTGTGCGTTCTCCCAGATGATGGAGGCTACACTGATCCGAACAGCAACCTCAGACCAGACTGGCAACAGTCAGGCGCCATGATTTCTACTGCTGTAGCTGCTGGGGGAAGAGTAAGTCCTGCATCTGTACTACTCTGTCTGGAAGGACCTCCAGGAACATCAGGAATGGTGCAGAACAGCTCCAGACTTGACAGTACTTACCCAGGTGCGCAACTGACTTTCAAAGGTGACACAGGGCACAGGAGATGCCAGTGAACCCTGGACTATCTGCTGAGTGGCAAGTTGTTCCGGGAAGGGCAGGAGGTAAGATGGGGTTGGAATTGGACATTAGAGATGCCATGGGTACAGGAGCAGTTGAATAATAGTGAGTTTGGTGAAAAAGCTCGTAGGGCCTTGCAACATGAATCCCTCCAAAAATTTCAACATATCTCGCACTTTAGCCAAGGAAACGTAATATTTGGTCCTCTGAAGCGATGTTATACAGTCAGACTCTAGCCTCCAGGTGTCCCAAGAGTTAGGCCACTCAGCACTGAGGTAGGGAGGAAATGTTTCACTCATATGGAGTTGAATCTTTGGAATTATCTACTCCAGGGACTGTAGCAATTCAATCATTGAGCATATTCAAGATAGAAATTGATAGTTCTCTAGCTACTAAAACTATCAAGGGATATGGCAATTGTGCAGGAAAATAGCATTGAGGTAGAAGGTCAGACATGATTCGGTTGCATGACAGAGCAGGTTAGATGGGCTGAATGGCTTACTCTTGCTTCTAATTCCTATGTCCCTGTTAGTTTCTTGGCTAGTTTCTTGCACTTCTGCTGGCAAATCCCATGGGATAGTGGGTCATTAAGTTTGCTGTCAATCTAGCAGAATTGGGTCTCTGGTTCCAATACATACAGGGCTCCAACAGCATCGTCCTCCCCTGAGACTAGTATCACAGAGAAGGAAACGAGTAGCATTGCTGTGAGAACACCACTATTGGCAAGTCATATATCAGCCTTTTTGAAGAAGGGTCTTGCACTGGCAGTTTCCCAGTCCTCCGGGGCTTTCTCCAGAATCTAAGGATTCTTGGAAGATCACCGCCAGTATACCTACTATCTTTGTAGCTACCTTCTAGAATGTATCCCACCAGGTCCAGGGCAATTATCGGCCTTTAGCCCCATTAGTCTCCCCAGTACTTTTTCTATTGTGATAGTTCTTGTATTTATTTTCTGTCTTGCATTTGATTATTTGGTAATTTTGGAATGCTAACAGAGTCCTCTACTGTGAAGCCAGTTGCAAAGTATTCGTTCAGTGGACCTGTGATTTACTGGTTCCCCATTATTAATTTACCAGCCTCATTTTAAGGGGTCCATATTCACTGTGGCCTCTCTCTTCCATTTTATATGTTGAAATAAGTCTTACTGTCTGCTTTGATATTTGCTATTTGCTAGTTTGCCTTCAAAATTTATTTTCACCCCCTTTATATTTTGGTCATCTTTTGTTGATTTTTAAAAGCAGTTCCCAACTGCTTAGCAACAATCTTTTCCACATCTTACATTTTATTTTCTTTCAATGTAATACTACCTCAAACTTCTTTGGTTAATCCTCGTTAGTTTATCACCTTCCTATAATCTTTCTTCCTCACTGGGTTATATCCTTATTCTGAGACATAAACTATTTTCTCAAAAGTTTACCATTGTTCATTGAACCCCCTCTTCTGCTAAATTCCTTTCCCTGTCCACTTCAATCAACTCCACCCTCACTCCTTTACAATTGCCCTTATTTATGTGTAACACAGTTGTTTCCAACTCAAGTTTCTCACTCTCAAACTGAATGCTAATAAATTCCACTACATAACTGTTTTCTTGGGGATCATTTACTCTGAGATTATTCAATAAACCTGCCTCATTATCAGATCCAAGATCC